CAGGATGCTAAATATCTCTCTAATAGGGGGCAGCGTGTGGTTCAAGGGGCGGCGCAGTGGCTCGGCGGTTAAGAGGCTGGGCTGGTCGGCTGGAAAGCCGGCAGCCCAGGTTCAAGATCTGAGCGCCATGCGGTGGGGCAAGTTCCGGTCCTTGCCCCGGCTCCCGCCCATCTAGCAGTTGGAAAGCATGCAAGTAGATAAATAGGTACCACTTTAGTGGGAAGGTGAGAGTGTTCCCAGCATATAGTTAAAGTTGCCGAGCTTGTCAGCTGGAAAGCTGACAGCCTGGGACTTGAACGTTGTGCAACGGGTGAGCTCCCGTCCCTTGCTCCAGCTCCTGCCCACCTAGCAGTTGAAAAGAATGCAAATGCAAGTAGGTAAAATAGGTAGCACTTTGGCGGGAAAGTTGCAGCACTCCGTGATGTCATGCTGGCCACAGAAATATCTTTCGGCAGTACCGGCTCAGTGGCCTTGAAACAGAGATGAGCACCTTCTCCTATGTAGTCAACAACAAATAGCAGAGTAAAATCTTCCGGGACTCCATCCTATCTCAGAGGGGCCACGAGACCCAAGCCAAGAGTTGGTGACCGTGAATTGGCTTGTGGTCCTGCTACCGTGGACTGCAACCGTTTCCGTCTCGTTCTGCTAAGCAGCCTTGAATAAGGCAAAAACCGAGATATCGAGGCACATCCGTAATTTTTTCCAAGAGGAAAAATAAAGCACCCTCCAGGTTTTGCAGGTTATTATGAATTTAACCGTTGGATTCTCTTTGCCTATTATTTTATTTAAACTACTGCTTCAAAGCCGTAACCTAGATAACTTTGATCTGGTTTCAAGACACAATGAGTGTGACAGGCTATAATATCTCCTTAGGGGGAAAAACTAAAAAGATTCAGTCAGACTTTGCATTTCGGCTTCCTTTGACAGCCACTTGGAGACTGGCACAGAATACACAATCGTGATTTTTTTTAACACGTTAAGAACACAGGTCAGGAAAAAAAAACAGCAGGAAGACATGATTAAAAAAAACTAACAAAGATGACATAAGAAAAATAGCATATATATATTTTATGTATAAAAATCTACAATACTTAATAATCTCCACGTATATCTTCGCAGCTGCCACCATTTCCGCTGCTAGCATCCAGTAAATTGTACAGCTTCAATTTCACTATCATTATTACAAATCACAAAGCCAAAAGTTTAAACTTTGAGATCATGACATAATCACATGGGTTATTATACATACATTTCTAGACTGCAAGAAATGAAACTTGAAAAGTAAAAGACAAAGTATTATTTGTCAGTTTAGAACAGGGCTAGGAAACAGGTCGTCCTGAAGGTATGGAGTGCAAGTCCCATCATTCCGTCCCATTGGCTACAGCGGTTAGAACTGATGGGACCCGGAGTCCAATGTCCTTTGGAGGAACACAAGTCACCCATAGGGTTTTTAAAAAATATAGATATATAAAAAGGTGAATTCTCAAATTAATTTTAAAAATTGCAACTGATGTCCATCATGTAAGCTAAATGTTATTTCATTTAAAAAAAAAAAAGACCACACTACCACAATAATGCCATTCTGCAGCAAACGTAGGCACCAAAACAAGAGTTTTGTTTAAGGCAGGTCTGTCCAACTCACAACTCAGAAAGCTCACATAGATCACAGACCAGGTTTGGTGGTTTCAGCGTGGGAGGGATTGACAAACCTGTCAGTGGGGTTGCCTGTGTGTGTGTGTGCAAAATTCAGGCCTCAAGTTTGGTGGGTCACAAATGTCACCAACCCGATGTAGTGTGGAGGGAGACCAATGCAGTTTGACCACGTTTGCCATTTGTGCAGCCAAGACAAAAATCTAAGCATCTCAGTATTTTTTTTGTTCAGCATTTTTATTTTTGTTGAGTGGGCCGGTGTAGAACGTGGGAGATGGTTGTGCTGTTCAGAGTTGGATGACCCAGAATGACATTTTTAGCTATTTTCTACGTTAATGTTGGATCTTTCTGGAGGTCTCCTGCTCTGTTGCTGCAAATTTTAAGGAGAAAGGAAAACATGATGGTCAGGTTGGACAGACTAAGGCAGTGGTGGCGAACCTATGGCACGGGTGCCAGAGGCGGCACTCAGAGCCCTCTCTGTGGACACGCGCGCCATCGCCCCAGTCCTTCAGCTGGGTTTTATAAAACCTTTTCGCTTTAGACCTCCACCGCTGTGTACAAGGTTCGCCATCACTGGACTAAGGCGTTGTTGAAGAAACCACAGTGGTGGGGTTTGCATATTGGACTGAGCTGCAAACTCTTGTCTTGCTGAAGCGCAGAAGAGGTGAAGTTCAGAGAAACCCTAAATCAAAAACATGTTGAGTTATTAGGGCCACTTCTTGTGGGCTTCAACTCCCAGAATTCCTCAGCCAGCCATGCTGTCAGGAGAATTCTGGGAGTTGAAGTCCACAAGCCTTCAAATTAACAAGTTTGGAGAGCCTTGATATGCTTGTGCCATGTCTGGAGACCCTGGAGCTGTATTATGGTTGTGAACCAAAGACGGGGGCCTACGAAGAAGACCACTCGTTCCTTCCCAAATAAAACTAAATAGTTGCTGCACAAATAGAACTAACAAGGATATCTGGAAACCCTGGATGGGGTTGGGGTTGGACAATGATCTTTGGGACCAGAAGTGGCTGCCCATCCCCATTCCCCAAAACCTGTGGGGTTAAGATCTCTACATCTTTTCCCTGAACTACTTATTCCAGCTCTTTTTTTGCCCTACATGATAAATATCAAAAAAGTGAAAATTCCAAGATGCAGTAAATTGTTCTGGCTTCCCAAGGATGAAGGAGCACTTCAGCACGAGACTTTATACCTATAATCATCTTTTAAGGGCCTCACACTACAGCAGCACTAGCCCAATCAAGGGCATAAAAGTCTATTGCTCTTGAGGAGAAGATGTTCAAGCTTGTTACGGGAACGGACAAGGATGCTCCAGAGGAGAGGAATGGGTGAAATTACAAAACAGAAGAGAAGAGAAACAGCTCTTCATTTTGAGATCGCCACAAACCCCCGCTAGGCTAGGAAGCTTCGGTGCTCATCAACTCAAGGCACTACAAGGTCAAATTGTTATCTGAGCACAAAAGAACAGGCTGCAGAGAACACCTTGGGTCACGGAGTACCCCGATCAGCTTAGACGCAACTTCCACTCGCCAAGTTGAGCTCAACCAATTAGTGGTTTCGTTTGTTTTTTTAAGGACAGCCATGAATTAGGTGGGTGCAAAATTGTAGTTAACAGCCACCGGCAAACCCATAACGGAATACTGCATGCATCTCCTCGGACATCTTGTTTCACACGTTCTATAACAGGGGTCTCCATAACTTGGCAACTTTTAAGATTGGTGGACTTCAAGCCCCCCAAATTCCCAGGGAATTAAAGTTGCCAAGTTTGGAGACCCCCTGTTACAGAACAATAGTTTCGGTGCTGTTTCCCTTTTGGTGAAGTAAAAGACATCCAAGTTTTGGATGAACTTGTCCACTGTGTCACCAAAACCACCCTGGAAGCCAAGGTCAGCCTCAGCGCGAGCCTCCAAGGCAATTCTGCTAGCGTGTATGACAGAGAGGAATAAAAGTAACCTTGCTATCGTGTTTTGAAAGCACCGGATGTTCAGTTGCGGAAATGAAGAACGCATTCAAAGGGATCAGATCTCTTTGGGGTTTTTTTGATGTGAGATATCTGTTTCAGGAAGGCTTTACTTGTCCTTAAAAAAAAAACATATTTCTGGGGTGGGAAAGCAGAGGTCGCTCTTCTGCATGCTTCCTACGCAGCAGGTTGTGCAGTTGGTTTAACAGGAGGCGCACAGCCTATTGTTAGTGTGCGGAACAGAGTCATGTGCCCCCCTGCGCGGCTTGCAGCTTTATAGACACATTGGGGGCATTAGTCCAGGGTCCAAGCCGTACAGATACTATGTGCTCAACCAAACTATCAAAAAGTGGGATATAGATGGGGGTTGAGCCAATGGAACGTGTGCTCATTATGGGTGAACCCCACGGCAGAGGTGAAATCCCACTTGGAAAAGGGAAGAACAGTCCAGACCCATGTAAAACCAGGCCAGTGGCTCACCTCTTCTAAAGCACATTAAACCCTGTACGCTACAAATGCATAAATTGCATTCGCTGGACTTCGAAACCTCCCTACCAGGACACACCTGGGACTCTCAAAATGACAGCTGGCTTTGCAGAAGTCAAGCTTGAAGGAGTCAGTCAAAGACCCCCATATCTGACAGTGTGCTACGATTCACATACAGTCCTGGTTACAGAAGCACCATTTATTGGCTATGTCAGAATGCCACCGATTTGGACACAGAGGTCTTCTTCTAGCTAGCCATATGCCACCACATCCCTCTCTAGAGATGGTCTTCAGAGGACCCAGAATTTTTTTTCTCTTCTGCGGCTACCGAGGCAGTGTGTAAAAAAAAGTCAAAGACGTCCCACCCCCCCGCCCCACCCCAAATCCCTTTCTATATAACGGATGGTTTATAAATTAAATTAAGCGAAAATATTTTTTTTAAAAAGTTAAATTAAAAAGTACTTTGTGGGCGCGGGTCCCTAGACATCCACGCTTCCGTTTTTCAGACTCTGCATCTGCCCCCCCCCCCCAGCCAGGGGTCTCCTGGGTCGTGATCTCAAGTCCAAAAAAGCAGCTGGCTCAGCGGGGGCTTTGCAAATTTTAGGCCACTGGGTCGTTTCCTCAAGGAAGCGACTGAAGCAAACAACTGCCACGAGAGCCACGGGGGGGAAGATATTGCTACATTTATCAGATTTCATTTTCCTCTGCTCATTTCTCAGGGTCGGCTTTTGTCAAAAATGTAACACGTTGCGAAGTAGCGTTATACTTTTCTACACGGAGTTCGAACTGTCCTGTGGAAAGAATACTCGTTTGGGGTCAGTCTCGACCCAAAGCCTGTTCTTTTCCTGGCCTTTTAGGTGAGCGGAAGTGTCTGTGTGTGGGGGTGCTGTTGTTTTTTTCAAAGCAGCACTGATTCGTTCATAGGCAATCCATCGGCCTGGTGTCTGTAATGGCGGGCGGGGCCAGGGGAACTCGGATACTGGTAGGAGGGGGGGCCGAGTTCCCCTGAGGCTGTCCTGTATCTGAGAGGTCTGTCCGCAGAAAGGGTGGGAAGGTTGTGGTCTTCAAGAGGCTGAAATGCTGGATGTCTCTTCAAGTTAGCCAAGTGGCTTCGGCCACCGTCTCCACCCCAGGATTGTCCATAGGCTCCCGGTCTGTACATTAAAGGGGGGTCTGACCATTTTTTATGATCGGGAAGATAATCGACTGGAGGAATTGCAGGATGGAAGCCTCTCGGTGCCCTGGGGCTGCTTGGGAAGGTTTCATCTGGGACAACCTCTATCCGACTAGAAGGAGTCACAACAAGGTTTTGGTGGAGGGCAGAGTAATTTCTAGGGGGCTTATCAGAGAGCATCTGATGAGTTTCCATCTCCGGTGGAAAATCGGGAATATACAACTGAGTGGCGGAGCTGGTCCGTACCCCGTGATTGTACTGCGTAGCTACAAAGTTACCTACTTTGGTAATGTGCTTTGGAGAAAAACCTTGGTATACAGGTGGATTGTTATAAGAGGGTGGTGGCTGTCTCATGGGAGCGCCAACAACTGACCCGTCAGATTGGGATGAATATCTGGGGACTCTGGGCTGAGAGCTGAAGGCATAACTGTTGGATATTTTTGGTGGACTAGATCCATTCTCGATCTCTTTTCTGAAACTGTTGGTGAAAGCTGTGTTCCTTGGATTTGGCAGAAAAACTCTCTCTGGCGCCTGCTCCACCAAGTTTTCGTTCTCCAGACCGGCTTCGGAAACGTTGTCGTACTGCGAGGCGTTCGATCCGCGCTTGCTTTTGTCCACATCCCAAACCCGAACTTTTTGCTTGAGGCTGAGTAGCTGAGCTTCGTCGTCAGGAGCAGGCGCTGTCCCGGCCCTGCCCTGCTTTGGTGATCTCGTCTTAAACTCCAGGGTGATTTTGGTCGTTTTTTCCGTTATCTTAACGTTGGAAGGTTTAATCCACCGCGGCACAAACTCTTTCCCTGTGGTTAATACTGCATTGGAGTTTTGGTTCGCAGCTGCGTTGTGTTTCTGCTTGGGATCGGCCTCTGTTTGCGTCTCAGGCTTTCTTCTGGGGTTCTCCCCGTCGTGCTTTGGCAACCCGCTTTGTGCGTTTAGTGCTACCGGCTTTTGCTGATGTCTCAAAATAGGCTTCTTTTCCAGAGAATTTTTTCGCCTTTGGCGGTTTGGCGAGCTTTCTCGGCCTCTCTCTGCTCGTGTTGTGGGTGGGCTCTCCCGGTTTCTCTTTGTCCGTGCTGTAGGTGAGTTTTCTTGGCCTCCCTCTCCATATCTCCTTGGCGAACCTTCTCGAGGGCCTTCTGCAGTCCTCTGGCTTGCCCGGGCCTCCTTCGCTACACCGTTGGTTTTTTGTCCATTGACTAGATGGGTGAGATTCAGCATGGCAGGCTGACTGTCAGGTGGCATTTTCCCCAGCTTCTTTGGAAATTCATCCTCTTTACCTAGAAGGCGAATAAAATTAACAATTAATACGTCTGCCAATTAAATCGTTGTCATGTATTAGCTTTATACAGCCTCCAATCAGAGAGACTCAAGGCAGCTCGTAATTAAAAACTCAACAAATAAACAAATTCTTACCATGAGCTCATAGACAGACTGGCCTGTTTGTTTGTTTTTTAAAAAATAATGCATTATAGGGTATGAAATAGATGAAAAGAAGAATGCTGGAAGGTTTAGAGATAAACTCAACCCTCAGAGGTTAGAAGCTACAGTCGATTTTATGCTCAAATGCAAGCAACCTCCACCCTCCCTGGATGGCAACAACTGCAGGCAGTATGTCTGATTATCACAAACTCATTCAAGCAAGCAAGGATTTTCTGGGAAATGCAATCCAACCTTGTATGATCCAAACTATACCGACTGGATGTTTCCTATTAAGTGGACAGGTCTGGCTTTTCTGAAACCTCAGCAAATCAAGGTCTTAATTTTAAAAGATTGCTGAACCCCGTTTCTGAAACTTGGGCGCATTTCAGCAATTACTTGGGAGATGGAAGGGGGAATTTTCCAGTCTGCTGTGAATTTGATAGATGTGCATCTTCTAACAGCCACAGGGTTGAAACGGAATACTGGATGAACTGAATGATATTATATTTACTGGGGAATCACGATCAGTTTCAAATCTCTTGCTCTCCAAGAGCAGACTGCACAGCGAAACTATTTTTTTTCCTTTAAAAAATGGAAGTGGTGGACTTAATCGTTACGCTTTCTCAGAATTGGGTGTGACCAAGTCCTGCCTCTGCTTAAAAAGAACCATCTGCAGCTACGGCCCTTTCCCTGATTTCTAGCAGAAGAGCACCCCTCCCTCCCCAAATCTTGGCTGCATACCTTACGACAGAGGTCCCCAACCCCTGATCTGTGGACCGGCACCGGGCTGCAGCAGGCCAGAAACCGGGCCACACAAACAAGCAAAGCCCCACCCACAGGATGCAGGCAGTACACAAAACCACGCCCTCTCTGGTCCGCGGGAAAAACCTTTCTCCATGGATCTGGTCCCTGGTGCCCAAAAGGTTGGGGGGTCTCTGCCTTACGAGATCCTTCTGAAGTTACCACCAAATTGTAACTTTCAATATAACGCGAGAGTAAATTATTAGACACGATCATTTACATTATTAAAGTCATCACATTAGAAGCATTTCATTTTAAACAGATGGAAACAGAATGAAACCGGAGTTCATTTTTTATCCTGATCTTGCATTGGGAAGGACATGCCTGTCCAGGACCTAGTAGGGCCGTTCACTGGAAAAATGTTGCACATTTCTGCTCTGGAATTATTCAGCAGGGATCTCCTGTCACCAGATAGAACAAAGTAGAATATTCCTTATTGGCCATGTGTGATTAGACAACAAGGAATTTGTTTCTGGTGCAGAAGCTCTCCGGAGACATATAAACAACAAAATAACATAATCATAAGGTACGAATAGGAGAAGGGAGTAGGAAAGATGAGAAGGATAATAGTAATGCAGTCCTACTACATGGGTAAATATCCTTAGACATAAGACAGTGCTGTGGGAATCAGGTGTTCAGCACAGTGATGGCACAAGGGAAACATGTGTCCCTGTGTCTAGTTATTTTGACGTATAAGGCCCTATAACAGCATCCTGAGGGGACAAATTGAAATTGTTTATGTCCAGGATGTGAGGAGTCTGGCTGGGGAATTCTGGGACTTCAAGTCCACAAGCCTTAAAGTTGCCAAAGTTTGCTATGCTTGCAGTAACCTTGGCAAAATGTGAAGCTGCATTCTCTGTAAGACACTATCCCATGAAACAGCAGCAGCCTGGCAACTTGCCTGCAAAAGCATTCCTGCTGCAAATAATTCCGCTCAAAGCTTTCATTTTAAGTTATTTTCATTTCCTCCCATTCAGGAGGAAGTCAGATCTTTATTCACATTCCATCAGGCTGTGTGTGTGTGTGTGTGTGTGTGTGTGTGTGTGTGTGTGTGTGGATAGATAGATAGATGGATGGATGGATGGATGGATGGATGGATGGATGGATGGATGGATAGATAGATAGATAGATGATAGATAGATAGATAGATAGATAGATAGATAGATAGATAGATAGATAGATAGATAAATTTTATATGGTGGCGCAGTGGTTAGAATGCAGTATTGCAGGCCGACTCTGCCCACTGCCAGGAGTTTGATCATGACAGGCTCAAGGTTGACTCAGCCTTCTATCCTTCCCAGATTGGTAAAATGAGGACCCAGATTGTTAGGGGTGAAATATGCTGACTCTGTAAACTGCATACAGAGGGCTGTAAAGCACTGTGAAGTGGCGTATAAGTTTAAGTGCTATTGCTATATGTAGAATCGGCGTAAGCTGTGTTCAAACAAACAAAACAAGGAGACTTAAAGGAGGACGCATAGGGACGGATGATTGGTTTATGGAAGCTGCCGTCACAAAGGTGGGATGAAACTTACAGCCAGTCAACAGCTCCAAGGTTATAAAGACCTCCAGCTTGGAGGCACCTTGCCACCAAATGGAAGCTCCTAAGCCCACAATGGCCCGTTCATCTTCAGACATCTAGTAATGCGACAAACTTCCCTTTATGCAATCGGTCCTCTGACCCCCAACAAGCTAGATGTTTGATCACTGAAGATGTCAGAGGTCTTAAACCTAAGACCTTTTGCAAGCGTGAAGCTATGGTCCTTTGCTAGTTGGCCAATTTGCAGAATTCCAATTTAAAACATTTGTGGCAGTCCTCGACTGCATAACCACATCCAGTGAAGGATGTGGGTAACCAGGGTTAAGACACACTTCTACTTGTCTACATCGCTGATTTGGGCCTGGCGTGTCAAAATTTAGGAAAATGCCTACCTTGACTCTGCTGGCATTCCAACACACATACACACAAACTCTCTCTCTCTCTCTCACACACACACACACGCACACACACACATACACAAAAAGAGGCCTCTCTTCTTCGAATGCTCTGTAAATCGGGATTTGGGGTCTCTGAAGCCTCAGAAAATCACATGAGAACACTTGCATGATTTTTGGATGCCTCAAAAGCTGCGTGAGAGCAAGGCACTCTTGCATGACTTCCAAAGACTTCATGTGTCACCAATAATGGCATGACGTGTCCCCGGTGTGATGTGCGTGTCATAGGTTCAGCATCCTCAATCTATATATTTATTGGGGAGCCCTCAAGAATACTTGTGTGCCTCTCATGCTTGCAACTTAAACCCGCCCATTACCCTTCACCCCTATTTCTATCCAGGTGATCTACACTTTTTAGGTTCCAACAGCATCAACAACACTTCGTCATACAAGTCACTCCGATTCTTCTCCTTTTTAAAATTTTGAGTCAGTGCATACTTTTCCAAGAAAAGCATTGAAATGTTCCCAGGTTGATTGATAAGGCAGCTTTTATTCTTCTTTTTTTTATAGCACACTTAAGGTCTCTTAATTACCATTAAGCTTTCAAGCCATCCAAGGGAAAACACGACAGACATTGTTACCGAATTCTTTCTTGCTTTGAAGATTATTTTCCGTAACATCTCTCCCTCACATGCCAGAGCAAGGGAAGAGTGCATTAGCTCCGGTGCGCACGATTCAAAGCTGTTTAGATGTTAAGATTGAAAGCTCACACCTGAATTTTGAACACTGAAAAGGGCAGGGAAGATCGAAGCTAGAATAACCTTGAACTACACTGCCAGTTCTCCAATTAAGAAGCTGGTGTGGTAATTGAAGTATTAACCATGTATTAACAGCCACAATCACCACTGTTGCCTGGGAAGATCAAAGCCTGTGCACGCAACGGGGCTTGTGAGCTTCTATTAGATGTACAAAATAATTGGGACAGATATTGCACAGCCCACAAAGGCAGAGTTAGAGAAGGGCTCCACACACACACACACAAAAACACAGTTTAAGATTCTCATGGAACTTGCATGTTACAGATCCCATTGATTAGGGATAGTCATCTGGTGGGACCGTGAAAAACCTTCCTGGTGGTGGCCCCTTATGAAACATCATTCCTCTCAAGGTACAGTCGGTTGCCACCCTGCTGCTTTTCTGAAAGACCTAAAAAGTGGCTTTGTCACCAAGCCTGGGGACCCCAAATATAAATGGAGTTGACCAAGTGGCTGGTTTGATTGTTTTGTTGCTGCCATGGGGTGTGGTTTTTTTTTTTTAATGAGTTTCATTATAGGGTGGATTTTTTAATTTTTTTTGTAAACTGCCCAGCATCATTTATGTGTGCCTTGGGTGGCTATATAAATTTGCTTAATAAATACAGATAGTCCTCGACTTACAACGATTTGTTTAGTGCACGGGTAGGCAACCTTGGCTCTTTTATGACTCGTGGACTTCAACTCCCAGAATTCCTGAGCCAGCATGGCTGAGCATGTAAACCGCTCCCTTTCTCCTCAGCATGGCTGCCTCAGGAATTCTGGGAGTTGAAGTCGAGTCACAAAAGAGCCAAGGTTGCCTACCCCTGGTTTAGTGATTATTCAAAATTACAATCTCACTGAAAAAAATGACTTATGACCGTTTTTCACACGGCCGTTGCAGCATCCCCATGGTCGTGTAATCAAAATTCGGATGCTTAGCAACTGACTCGTATTTACGACCGCTGCAGTCTTCCGGGGGTCTTCTGATCCCCTTTTGCAACCTTCTGACAAGCAAAGTCAATGGGGAAGCCAGATTCACTTAACAACCGTGTGACTAACTTAAAAACTACAGCTGTTACGTTAACAAATGCCTCGCTTGGCAAAAAGAAATTTGGGGCTCAATTTTAGCCGTAAGTCGAGGATTACCAGCAACATACTTCAACCTAACCAGGCTCAAACGTCAAAAGAGAGAGTCTGCCGATGTTGTTGATATTCCACACTTTGCACACACCGAAACCATCGAAAGGCTGTTGGGCCAAATGCACAACCATTGCCTTTTGCAACTTTCCCCCCTCTTACGACTTGCTTTCTGTCAAGGCCTCTAAAAC